ATCCCCGCGCGCTCGCAGAATCCCCGGGCTCGGCCAACCGGGCTGCGCGCCCTGGAGAGGGGCCCCGCCCCGCCCCGAGGGTCCCCCTCTTCCAACAGACGGAGCCCCGCCCCAGAGGGACCCCCAGGTCCGAAAGGGACAGCCAACCACGCCCCAGCAGGGCTCCCAGCATCTCGCAGCTGGAGCCTCGCGCTCCAGAGGACCCTCGGTGCCCAGCTGGGGGCTCCCCGCCCTACTGAGGGGACGCCGCCCGGGAGGGTCCCCCCGCGCCCCGCGGGCCCCTTGCAGGATGCACGCCGCCCTGGCGGGGCCGCTGCTCGCTGCCCTCCTCGCCACCGCCCGCGCCCGCCCGCAGCCCCCAGACGGAGGACAGTGCCGGCCGCCCGGATCGGTGAGCGAGCGCCTGCCCCGCCACTCTCCCGCCCGTCCGGCCGCCCCGGCACCCCGGCTCGTGGGGGGCAGTGGTCTGGCTTCTCATTCTCTCACCCACCTTAGTCCAACCCCGTCCCACCCCGGTCCTGCGTGCGGGCACAGCTTGGGCACCCTTCCTTCACGTCTCCTTGCCCGGAGCAAGAGCCCAGATGGGCGCTCCCTCTCCCTCTCCCTCTCTCCCTGGGGTTCCTTCTCCAATCGCTAACGCTTTGGGGCTCTCTTCTTGACTTCTGGTCCTGCTTGGGTTTTTTTTCCTCCTCTTTGCCCCTTTCGGGCTCCCTTCTGACTTTTATCCTGTCTTGAAACGCTTCTTTCTCTCCTCTCTTCCTATATTTCTGGCACTTTTCTCCGACGTTCAGGCACACTCTGCCCCTTCCCAGGCCTCCCTCCCTCTCCCTGCCTGCAGGTTCTGAATGAGGGCACGCTGTCCTCACGTGCGGGTTCTCACTTCCTCTGCAGCCCAGGCCCCGGCACCTACCACCTCAAGTGCTCCGAGTCCCAAAAAGGGGAAGAGTCTAGGGGAGAGAAAAAGGAAACGCTAGCACATGTTGGCTTAGTGTTTCCTTGCAGGAGGAGGGTCAAGTAATTACATTCTCTTCCCTAAACCGGGAATCCCTTGATTTTCCCCAGAACCCTTCTGCAGAGATCCTGAGTTGGAGGCCTAGAGACTGGGGAAGTTGCCTGGGGTCTTCCTGTGCTGTCCTGTGACAGGGAATTAGTTGACCTTGGGTAAGGTGCACAACTAGCAAGCTAGCTTGCCTTGTGCAGAAGCAGGGAGGACTATAGCTAGCTAGCATGGCACTTATCCCCAATATGCTAAGATTTACAAGTTTTGTTACTAAAGGAAGGAATGGTTTTCCTCAATCTTCAACCCGTGTTTTTTTTTTATTTGTGCCACAATCAGACAGGAAAAAAAATGTTAAAGTTTACAAGTGGTCAGTGGAGCTTTTCGGAATAGAAAACGAGCTTGCCTGACAGAAATATTAGTCTCCTGCCCCTGCCCTTTACCCTGGTCCAACTCTGGATGTGGCGAAATGGCTCTGGTGTTGCATGCCCATGCATACACACACACACACACACACACACACACACACCTTTAGTGGGAGTTAGGTCACAGGAAATGACAGAATTGGGGATGGAGACCAGGTATGCATTTTTGGTGGAGGAATCTGGAAAGCACCCAGAATATGTACATTTCTTGGGATTAATTCTATGGAACGCTCTCTTCCCAACCCAGAAATTGAGCTTTGACTTGGCTTTGCAAGGTTTTAAAGCACTTTCTCATCTATGGTCTCAGCTAGTGGAGCAAAGTAAGTTAACACCCCCCAAACCTGCCCTGCAAGAAGAAAACCCATATCCACCCCGATGAACGGGAAAAGTAGCTGTTGAAATCAGTGTGCTATTTTTAATAGGTGTTCTGCTTTCAAAGTGCTCTTGGCATGTGTCTTCTAATGGTTGTATTTAAAAGTTATATGACTTCCTCCCTTCTTGCCAGAGCAGGACTCTCTGTCGTCCACCCCCCCCAGCCCCACCCTCCACATGAAACACCACCCAGTGAAGGTTTGGCTTGGCCAAGCAATGAGTGTTCTCAGGTGGTGTGGCAGACCTTGGCTCTCCCAGTGAAAGCAAGTCATAATGAGAGCCTCTCTTCATTGCCCACTTTCTCAGTGCTTGGCACTGCTCTGGGGGCTTCTCACAGCATAGATGGTATCGTTATTTTGGCATCAGTACTGGGACTTGAACTCAAGGCCTGGGCATTGTCCCTTAGATTTTTTTTTCCACACAAAGCTAGTACTCCACCACTTGAGCCACTGCTTTACTTCCAGATTTTCTTTTTAACTGGTTAATTGGAGACAGGAGTTTCCTGAACTTTCCTGCCCAGGCTAGTTTTGAACCATGATCCTCAGGTCTCATCCTCCTGAGTAGCTAGGATTACAGGCATCAGCCCCCAGCCCCCAGCAGCCCTTGCTCTTTGTAACAGCTGGAGTGGGTCTCTCTGCCTTCTGTCCTCACTTCCCCCTGCTACCCATCTAACCCTGGTGTGGCTCCGCTTCCTTGTGCCTCACTGCCTGGCCTCTCCTCTCCCCCTTGCAGCAGAGGGAACTGAACTCCTTCCTGTGGACTATTCGGCGCCATCCTCCAGCCTACCTGTTTGGCACCATTCACGTCCCCTACACCCGAGTCTGGGACTTCATCCCGGACAATTCCAAGGCAGCATTCCAGGCCAGTGCCCGTGTCTACTTTGAGCTGGACCTGACTGACCCCTATACCATCTCGGCTCTGGCCAGCTGCCAGTTGCTGCCACACGGGGAGAACCTGCAGGATGTCCTGCCTCATGAACTCTACTGGCGCCTGAAGCGCCACCTGGACTATGTGAAGCTGATGATGCCCTCATGGATGACACCTGCACAGCGTGGCAAGGGACTGTACGCCGACTACCTGTTCAATGCCATTGCGGGCAACTGGGAGCGCAAGAGGCCAGTGTGGGTGATGCTCATGGTGAACTCGCTCACGGAGACGGACGTGCGCTCTCGTGGGGTGCCCGTGCTGGACCTCTACTTGGCCCAGCAGGCTGAGAAGATGAAGAAGAGTACAGGGGCCGTGGAGCAGGTAGAGGAGCAATGCCATCCACTCAACGGGCTCAACTTCTCCCAGGTAGGCATGTGTATGCCAGCTCTGAGCAGCAGCCTCAGGACCTTGCTCCTCTGCTCTGATTCTGTGTTTTGTTTGTTTTTGCCCTCCAGCAGGCAGCCAGAGTCAGATCCTTTCCCCAGAAGGAGAGCTTCATTCTGGCCCTGGGACAGCCCTGGGCCGCTGTGGTAGGATGCGAGGAAACTGGTGTGTGCCAGAGTTTGTGTGTTTTCTTCCATTTCAGTGATTCCCTGTTGGGGATATCCACTCTCCACCTGCTGTGCTTGCCTGAGCAGAAAGAATTTCCCTGGGAGCATCAGAGAGATCCAGAACAAAAAAAAAAATAAGAGGGGGGAGTTGCCAGTTTGTATCAGTCTTTCTGCAGGCCTGGCGTCTCCTGAGCAGGAGGCTGCTGTGTCTGTGTGGAGAAGGATTTGGTGCCTGGAGTGCACTGTGCTGAGTGGATAGCATCAGGTGTTGTGGTTCTGGCCTATACTAGCACTGATTTGCTATTTCTATAGAATTCCCCCGTGCTCTGCGACCCTCGGACTGCCTCCCTGAGACTTGGGAGAAAGTCAGTAAAAGAGACGTTGGGGGTTAATAATTTCAGAGAAATGTGTTTGCTTTCAAGCTGACAATTCTGATTTCTGAACCTTAAGGTTGGGGGGGGGGCGGCAGGGAGGGGTAGGGAGTGGAAGTGGCAGGGAGAAGGGAGAGACTTAAGAGGTTTAAAGTCTCTGGCTGCCAGAGTCCCTATCCAGTAAAATGTCATTAAAAGCCTGTTTCCATGGGCAGAGGTCACCCGTAACTCACTGGTCCCAAACTTAACTCCGAGGCCCTAGGGACAATGAATTCACATCTGTGCCTTGAGAACTGAGCTGTGGATCCCAGGTTGGTGGTTCCTTCTCCGAGGAGGTCCTAAGACAGGCAGATGCCCTGAGTGAGGGGTGGTTCTGAGACAGCTGAACTTTACCACTGGAATCAAACCTGCTAGTTTGCTGCTGAGATGTTGCAAGCTTTTCACCAGGGAAACCATGGCAGAAACTGATCCCCCCTCCTCACCCCATACACACACATACACACTCCTCTTCCAAGATCTCTGGCCTTTGTTTTTCCAGGGGAAATGCAATATTGTCCCCAGGGAGGTAAGAAGCCAGATTGATTTGCCGGCCAAATGAAAGGCGGGTTTGTTGGTTCTCCTGCTGGCTCTCCCATAACTGTGGAGTCCTTACCCAGAGGGCCCCAGTGGCAGGGATATTGGGGCAGTTAGTCACGCCCCGCAGGATACTGACTATGCCTGACTCCTTCTCCACGGGGGAAAATCCTGTGTATTCTCTACCCCAGTGCTGAATTCTCTGAACATAGCGGCTTGCTCTCTCTGAAGTCAGTTTTCCCTTGCCAGCCTCACGAGCTAATATTATCTGTGTCAAACTCTTCCCCCACTCCACCCCCAGCCCTCACCGCCCATCTTATTTTGGGGGCAGTTTTGTGGGAGGCCTCTCTGCTCAGAGACCTCCTGTCAGGGCTCAGTCTCTTCTTTAAGTTAGGGAGGTGGGGGATCCACCATCGGTCTCAACCACCCCTCTTTGTACCAACCACAGAGGAACCCAACCAGGGCTGAAAGGGAGCGCTCCCTGGTTAAACAGCCCCGAGCTTTAATCTGTCTCTCTTAAAACAACAAAACTATCTTTCTTCAGAGGGGTCTGGAAATGCTGCTGTTCAACCAAATGATGGCTCTGGTAGGTTGAAAACATTTGCTGCAAAGTGAGCTTATGTTTTAGGAAAAGTTTCTGAGAAGCCATTCATCGGCCGGCAAGGAGCCCACTGACAGTCTCTCCAAAGCCTATGTTTGAAGATCAAACAGACTCCAATTTCTGTTGTTGCAAAAACACACCCACCCTATCACCAGCCCAGGCCCGCTCACTCATCAAATTGTTCTTGGGTCCAGCATTTCCATAGCACCCAGAATGCAAGTCCTAAGCAAAAGAAAACAGGAATTTATTTCTCTTAGTTCCTAATCTAAACACCCTTCACCACCTGCCCAAGCATCCGACAACATCAATTTGTCCTGCTGTCATTTTGGAGGGAGGTGATGAAACCTCTTCTTCTGTCCTCCTGGGCAGTCTTGGACTAACTGGGAAAGGTGGGATTCTAGAACCTTCTTCCCCAAGTCAGAAATGCAACCACTTCTCAGTAAATTGCATGCACGCATGCACAGTTTGATAGGAACATCTGTGATGCATTATTGCACCAAAATATCTGTTAAGTGCATCAGTTTTTTTTTTTCCCTCTCTTTCCTCGAAGCATTACTGTTATTGCAAAATATTTGAGTTGGGGTGGGAAGAGAACAGTGAGAGGAAGGTGAGAAAAAGAAGCCTTTTAAGGCTGCCACTCTGGGAAAGTCTGAGATTTTCATTTCATGATTTTTTTAATGTCTCTTTTTTTCTGGATAGAAATACCATGTGTTTGCTTGTTAAGTGGATAAAGAAAGATTAAATTTGGGGACGTCAGGGGCTACAGGGGCTACAGGGACCACAGGAAAGCTTGTATGGTTAGTGTCTGATCTGCTAGCGTAGCTTGGAAGATCAGGCCAACGGATAGGTTTTTTGACCTCTAATTTCAAAATAAACTGAAGGCGCTAGATCCAATATCAGCATGAGTTTTGCCATGTGACCTTGGGCAAGTCAGTTCCTCTCCCTGAACCTTTTTTTCTTTGCCTGTGAAATGAGACACCAAGATTAGGTCATCTTTCAAGCCCCTTCCAGCCCTGACATTCCATAGGCTGATTCTAATCAATTCCACGTGCCAGACACCCAGCAGGAAACTCCGCATGCCTTTCCATTTCATTGAATTCCCTGGATAACTTTACTATGGCTTTCTAAGGTGGGCACCAGAGAAGTTGAGTGACTAGCCCAAGGTCACATGGCTAACAAGGAACAGAGCCAGACTCTTAAATGAAGGATGTGCTCTTCCTGCTACCCCATGCTGTTTCTTAGACTTCCTCCTGGCCAGGTGCTTGATACCCTCCTGTAATTTATCCTGTAGTCCTCTTCTGCCTTTAGGACTTGAGAGCTGAACATTTTCTTTCTTGAGGAGTTTGTACTTACAGAGAAATCATTTCCTTTGACTCTGGGTCTTGAGTAATGAGACGTAGGCAGGCCTTTTAAAGATTTTCCTCCTGTGTTATCACTAGCTCAGTTTGGTGGGTAAGACATAGAGAACTGTATCTAATCTTAGGCAAGATTTAATGTTTCTGGCTGTTGGATGGATGGAGTAATAGTTAACCAGCCTTTCAAAGTCAAGCTGGTTTTGTGAATACACGAAGAAACTACCTTTAGAAGGTTGTAGAGAAAGTGAACGACTTCCTAGCTATGATTGACAGAGTATGATCAGGGAAAGGGAAGAGGAAGGCTGCTCTTGAAGCATCCATGCCTTTCTTCCAGCCTCCATATTCACTGTCCCAACCTTGGCTCAACAACATGAAGATTTGTTCAACTGGGACATGTTGGCACACCCTTTTCTCTTGGGGTCCTGGAGACCTGAGCCTTAGGACAACTGACCTGAGGATATTCTTCAAATCTGTAGATCCCGATCAACTTTGCCTGCTACTTCCAGGGACTGGTACTAGCTTCTACTACTCCCTCTGGGGTGCCTCAATCCTCCCCATCCACCCTACTCGTGTACACTAGAGACTATGTTATGAGGTCCTTCCAGGGAACGTAGAAGAACAAAGATCCTCTACACTATATTTTAACCAACATATGCTGGCATCACCAGAGTGTATAGAGTTGGAACTCTAGAGCATGTCTGCCAAAAGTGTCCAAAATGTTTATAAAATTTACAAGTCTCCTACAAAGGGAGATGGAAACCACAAAATCAGGTGCTGAGCTTTGTCTCTGCACAACACGTGGCATTGGCTCTCACAAGTATATTCTCTTACCCTCCTGGCAGTGCTACAAGGTTTATTGTCATACCTATTTTTAAAGACAACAAATTGAAAACATTGAATCATTTGGCTTTGATCACATAGACAGGCCAAGTGGACTCAGGGTTCAGACTCAGGTCTTTCCCCTGCTAAAGGCCAATCTTTTTAGGTATCTGAAAAATGGATTTGTTTTGGTGTTTAAGAGTCAGATGGCCTTAGCTGGTATATTTGTATGTGTGGGTATGTGGAATGGTAGATTAGTGTGCACGTGAAGGGAGATCTTCATTTTTTACTAAAAAAAAAAGTAAAATAGATAATTGAAAAGTGCTGAAACTAGTTTTCTGCCTGGCTCATAAATTGGATCTGAAGGTAATTCTAAAGTATGAGTTTCTGAAGACATTTTGGGCACCAACTGCCTCCCTGGAATGCATCTTCAGCTTTCCATGGGACCTCTGTAAAGATGGCTAAGTCTACACAGTTGAATTGAGAAAAGTCTCCTCTATCTATACTCTGGGGAAACAGTAGGTCTTAGTAAATGCACAATAAATACTTGCAGAATGGATGAGTTAATAAGCAATAGTCAGCAACCATGATATAACCATCCTTAATTCCCTTCTATCATCCAGCCCTGTGTGCGTGTGTGCACACGCGCGTGCAAATGCCACCTAGGCCTGGAAGGAATCTGAGTATAAGCATGCCAAGCGGTATGCCCAGGGGGCTTCCTTAGCATGTGACAGACATTCTCTGAGCAGCTCCACACCAGAGGGTGAAATTAGACATTGATTCAGAAAGGGTAGCATGCTTCAAGAAGCACATGAAAGAACAGGGTCTCTCTATGAAGCATGAAGAATCAGGGACAAGACAGACTATCATTTGAGTGTTCTGTGCCTTCACTTCCAAAACTATGAAACAAGGCTAGTCATGGCCACCTCCCAGGGAATAACTGCAATGTCCACTCTCAGCTAATCTACTCTTGGAAGGCCACGATGCTGTTGTTCCCCATCCTCTGTTCCCAGACCCTGCATGGGCACAACCAATGAGCTTTCTGGTTGAATGAGTGAGGATCTGAAGGAAGGAGCAGGCTGGGATGACAGAGATC